GAGAACCTGAGTGTGCCAGCCCTGCAGCTTAGCAAAAATTGAAAATCAAGTTCCTGACTTCTTATTCTCATTAAAATTATGAATTTGAAAGGATATAGTCTGTCCTTTTTATTTCAAGTGAAGCAAAAGCCTCAAGCATGACAGATTCTTATTTGTTGCCCTCAAATTTTCTGTCCAGCCCCCAAACTTCCCTGAGCATTAGTGTCTTTTAGTCACCTCCACCTGGTGATTTGATGCTGACATTTTTCCTAGAGTGGCAGTAGGCTGTGTAGGGGTGGGGGCATTGGGCCCATCACTTTCTTGGACTTCTGGGAATGTTGGAAGGAGGCTCTTTGTTAAGGATCCACTCCCACCAGCAAAAGGGCTGCAATCAAGGCCTCCTGGCTGTGGCTGCTGCAGGCCTCATTGTTCTCTGCCAGCTGGTCTCCTTCATCATTCACTCCTACCCTGTTCTTCATTGCGGCTGCCCATACCTGCTGCTAAATTAGAAGCAGAAACTCCCTTCTTCCCATCTCTGATCTCAGCTATGCTTGCTGGATGCTGTTTTCCCATCTCTCCCTTCAGTTTGTGATTCTTCGCACAGCTTCCTGGTAAAACCCTTCAGGCTCTGCCAGGCACCTGGAACCTTCCTTCTCCCCCACAAATAACCCCCCTGCTCTCCACAGATGATACAGAGCCAACATCTGAGAATGTGCCCCAAGCTCTGAGCCCCATACGGGGTGCAGCCACCGGCACCTGGCCCTCTTTCAGTTTAGCCAGTGTGGCTCTAAGAGCATTGGTCTAATTCCTCCTCTAATTTCCTGGCCCCCAGGTCTGGAAATCCACCACCCATTCGTGCAATCAGTACCTATGGCAGGAGGCAAATGGGCCTCTGCAGAGGCCTCCACCTATTACACAAGCAGCTCAGTAGAGGGCACTCCTGCACCAGAACAGTCGTGCCTGGAGCTGTAACCCTCAACCCAAAGCTGCACTCCAGGTTCCCAGTCAGAAGGCACATTTACCCGCCGACGCATGCGCCTGCGTTCTGATCCTTATTCTTGGCCGTCGTCAAAGATGGCTGGGAGGCTCACCTTTGCATTTCGTGTTGTCAGCCTGACCTGGGCAAACGTAATGATGATGCAAGGTATTACTCTATTCACTGGATTCAAGTGAAAGTTACTTTAAATTGGTGCCACAATATTTCTAAGCCCTTCAAAGGGGAGAAAGGAATCTTGCAGGATGCAATTTCCAAGTTACTACCAAAATTATTTTCTACTTGAAATAATTGAGTCTATCTCTGCGTGTGGATGCAGAGGACCCGAACTAGCTCTGCGGCTAGAAGTGAATTCACCTCAGACAGGACATAGGTATACTCTATTCTTTAAGAGACATCTTATTCTGACTCATTCAAATAAAGAATGGACACATTGTAGTCAATATTGTCCACTCGGTGGAAGATGTGCCAACAGGACAGCCAGCATTATTGAAATGGCTGTGCACATTTTAAAGCTGGCTTCTTTGCACTTCTACAAGCTAACATGGATGGGGCACTTACTATACGCCAGGCACCGTGCCAGACGTTTCACATACGTGACTTCATTTGCTCTTCACAACCCCCACACGTGTTAGGTGCATTTCAGAGATGGAGTACTTTCGGAACAGTGGGCGTGATGGCTGTCACATTGGGAGCGCAATGGGAGATGAGTGGCACCCACTCGTCTGTCACCATGGCCCAAGTCCTTGACCTTGATGTGTGTCCATGAGGAGGCTCAAAGTGGGCCCTGCATGTTTGACATAAGGGGTTGGTAAACATTACTGTCCATAATTCCAGTGCTTTCCAATTGAAATCCATATTTGAAAGAAATTCCTAGTTGACTCAACCAAATAACATTTTTATGTGTTAGAAGTTAAATTATCAACTCTAAAATCAACTTATTACCTGGTGAGTGAAATTAGAAGGTAGAGCGGCTGCTATTCAATTATGGTGAGTTGCTGTTTAATGGCTGTGTTCTCAAAGGCTCTATTAGTGTCGATTAATCTACTTTTTCTACTGGACAACAGACAGCCCTTTCGCACTGAACCCCACTGTGGAAATGTGAAATGTAGGGGCTGCAGTGAAAACCATGAGACAGTTGGATGTCATCAGCATGGCACTGAAGACCATGAGGGACATTTTACTGACACATTCTTCTACTACCCTAAAATAAAAAACAGTCCTGACTGGGGAGAAGCAAGTGACATACACAGGTGTCCTGCATGGAAATGTTTCTGGAAGCCACAGGAGGCAGCTACCAGTTGGTCCCTCCCTTTGCAAATGCCTGGGTACCAGACTACTCATCAGAGCTCTACACTGAACTGGTGCCTAGCCTTGGCCCTGTCTGTGACAGAGGAAAGAGCAAGAAGAAGCACACCCACCTGAAGGCGACTGTTTATGGGACAGGCCTTGAAGATAGCTAAGAAAATTCCTCCCAAAACAAAAAATCTTGCCTTCCCAGGGTTCCTAGTCATTATGAATTACACCAAATTCTGTTCATTTTGCTTACTCATTGTCATTTGCTCTTCTGGTTATAGTTCCCAATTCTTCTTTGGGAATCACCAAATTTTAGCTCTGGGCCGTGTCAACCAGCATGTTCCATCCTCTTAGAGAGCAGCAAGCCCTAGCTTTTGGCATAAACACAGTTGGCTATTGATAACTGTGGGTTCCACATCCATGGATTCCACCAATTGCTGACTGAAAATACTTTTTAAAAAATTTTGTCTGTATTATGTGCAGTCTTGTCCTTATTCTCTAAACAATGTGTATAACAACTATTTGCACAGCAGTTACACTATATTAGGAATTATAAGTAACCTAGAGATGATATAAAGTATATTTAAAGTGGCGCAAGCAGTAAGAGCACCTGCCTTGCAAGCGTGAGGCCCTGAGTTCAAATCCCAGTCCGCCAAAAAATATAAATACATTTTAAAAAATAAAGTGCATGGTAAGATGTTATATGGAAATACTACACCATTTTCTATAAGTGACTTGAGCAGTGACAGAAACCCACAGTGTTCCAAAGCCAATGCATCACTGGTCTTGGACAGGCAGCTTGCATCTAGGTCCCTCTTGGCAAAGCCACAGTACCAGGACCTTGGTTTCCTCATCTAGTAAAGTCACCTTCAGGGCCCTTCCCAGAGCTGACAGTTCATGTCCAGAGGGTGGATGACTGGAATGGCAGTTGCCATTTTGGAATTCTAAGATGGAGGGGCGATGGTTCCTTCCTTTGACAGGTATGGTCTTACATTTTGGTATAAATAAAATAAAATCATTTATACTAGCTTATGAAAGAAAGGTTGGGAAAGAAAAGCATATATTTTTTTTTCATTTTCTTCCCTTTCACTGTATTTGCATCTTTTTGTTTTGTCTCAAGAAGCAAAGATGTGATTGCCCATTCTCTACTGGTGGTCTCTAATCCAGAGCCGCTCTACATCAGATCTGTATGTCACCCTCAGGTCCCTCCATACCCAGAGAGAATGTGTATTTCTTCCACTTCACAAGCAAGAATAAAACTCTGAATTGGTAAAACAGAGGGTGGAACGCAGGGGAGACTGGCATTCGTAAACCACAGCCACCAGGTCCAACCTATAGACACGTTTTGTTTCAGCCTCCAAGTGTTGTCTGGAGCCCCAGGCCTGTGTTGAGCCTGGCCCGTGATACTCACCCAGTGGTTCACCTGTAGTTGTCAGTTCCTAACAGGGTGGGGTTGGGAGTAAGGAGTAAGGAGGGCTTTCCTAAGACGCAAAGGCTATCCTGAGAGGTCAGCAGAGTCAGTGAGCATAAATAAGGCAGCCAAGGGGGGTGTTTGGGAAAGGTGAGTGTCTCAGTTATCTGGGGAAGTAGGTCTTACTCCCCTCTGGGTCTCCAGAACGCCCTCTGCAGTTGGGGCAGAAGATCGAACTTGGGTGTCACACGGAGGACCAGAACCCAGGACTCAGCAAGGACACCAGAGTCAGGTCGCAGCTGGGGCAGGCTGTGGGCTCATCGTCGACACTAAGCCCTCCCCCCACCTCCTCCAGGGGGTTGGGGCCGACACCACCCCCTCGCTCGCCTGAGCCGCCCTCGCCTGCCCCCCGAAACCCCGCAACCCGGGAGCTCCCCGGCGACTCGGCGGACACTGAGCTCCTCCGCCCAGCCAGCGCCGCAGAGCGGGAACCCCGACCCGCTACCGGAGCCAGGCTGAGCCCCACGGCCGCAGCCGGCGAGGCAGGGCGCTGGCTCGGGCTGGGGCGGGGGTTCCGGGAGCCGGGAGCTATTTTTAAAAGACGCGTCAGGCGGCGGGGGAGGAAGAGCAGGCTCCCGGGCCCATTGTCTCGGCGCGGGCCGCAGGGGAGGGGCACGGAGGGCGAGCCCGAGCCCACCGAAGCGCGCGAAAACGGGCGGCGGGCGGGGAGCACGGCCGGACCCCCGGCCGCGGGCGGGGCGGGGCGCGGGGCGGGGCCGGCGAGGGGGCGGAGCCGGCGCCCTCGGGCCGCTGCAGGCTGGCGGCGGCGGCGGCTGCGGCGCGGGGACTGCGGGGACAGCGAGGCGGCCGCGCCGGCAGCGACGCCCGGGGAAGCCCGCTGCCCACCTGCGCCTCGGCGGCTGCGCCCCGGGAGCGGAGGCGCCATCCAGGGCGCCGAGAGCGCGGAGTCGGCGGCCGCGGAGAGCCCGGCCGTGGCGGGAGCGCGGGGGTGCGGCCCAAGGAAGCCGCAGAGCGAGCCCGGGCCGGGCGAGGGCGCCGGGCGCGAGCATCCTGCACCGCAGCATCTGAGGCGGCTTCTCGGGAGACAAAAGCCGCCCGGAGAGACGCGATGCCCGTGGGTCACGAGCCCGGCCGGCCAGGGCGCGGGCGCCGCGGAGTCTGAGCGCGTGGAGCCCCGCGCCCCGGGGACGCCGAGGCCCGGGCCGGTGCGGGCGGCGGGCGGGGCCCAGGTGAGCCCGGCCACATCGGGCCTGTGACTGCTCGGGGGGCGGCGCCCTCCCGCCGCAGCCGCAGTGGCCGGCGCCGCAGCGAGGAGCCATGGGCAACATCTCCTCCAACATTTCGGCCTTCCAGTCCCTTCACATCGTCATGCTGGGCTTAGACTCGGCCGGCAAGACCACGGTGCTTTACCGGCTCAAGTTCAACGAGTTCGTGAACACGGTGCCCACCATCGGCTTCAACACCGAGAAGATCAAGCTGAGCAATGGCACGGCCAAGGGCATCAGCTGCCACTTCTGGGACGTGGGTGGCCAGGAGAAGCTGCGGCCGCTGTGGAAGTCCTACAGCCGCTGCACGGACGGCATCATTTACGTGGTGGACTCTGTGGACGTGGACCGGCTGGAGGAGGCCAAGACGGAGCTGCACAAGGTAACCAAGTTCGCCGAGAACCAGGGCACGCCGCTTCTGGTCATCGCTAACAAGCAGGACCTGCCCAAGTCGCTGCCGGTGGCCGAGATCGAGAAGCAGCTGGCGCTGCACGAGCTCATCCCGGCCACCACCTACCACGTCCAGCCAGCGTGCGCCATCATCGGCGAGGGCCTCACCGAGGGTATGGACAAGCTGTATGAGATGATCCTGAAACGCAGGAAGTCTCTCAAGCAGAAGAAGAAGCGGTAATGCACCCGGCAGCGTTCAGGAGCGAGGGGGAGCGAGCTAGCAAGTGAGTCAAAAGTGAATGAATGGACGGATGATGGGTGAGCGAGAACCCGCGCCCGCGAACAAAGACAACGAACCAAAGCAATGCTTCGAATTTTTAAAACGCAATCTCTGTACCCAAATACAGGACTGGGAACTTAACCCGGGAGTGGAGGCTGATTTACCAGCCTGCTTTCCACCTGCCCCACCCCACCCCCACCAGCTCAGGGGACCTTTTGTCTGAACACCAGAGCTGCCGATAGGGCGGGAGGGGGGGCGGTGGGAAGTGTACAGGAGGGTCCTGCTGTGCGGCTGGGTGGGGTGGGAGGGCAGGTGAAAGGGTTGGACGCCAGAAAGACAAAAGCGATTTCTTCCTGCTACTGCTGGGCCAGAAGTTCAGGCTGCCCCGCCCCCACCGGGAGGGGGATCACCTGTGGTTACCTAAGGTATGTGGTTCCCAGAACCCTGGGGGTACCTATTTGGGGGCAGGTCGGCACTGGAAGGCCCTGGGGGGGAGGGGGATGGTGACTGCTCCTTGCATTCAGGGGCTGTGAAAGCTGAATAATTTTACGTCACAGGGCAGGTCCCTGTGGAAATGTCATTTGTCCTGCTCTGGACCCAAACCAGGTGTTGGTTTGGAACATCAGAGGACTGCCTGGGACAATGAGTCAGCTGGAGAGCACCCTGTGCTGCTGGCCTTGGCTGGGAATGGCCACGAAGATGCCCTCTGTCCTCGGGTTTGTGGTGGCTGCAGAAGACCGGTTTTGTCCTGGAATGAGACCTCATCCAGATGTCTTGGACCTTGTCCATGTGTAGGTCATTATCACACAAAGAGACCAATAAAAAAAAAAAAAAAAACTGTTGGAGGTGGTGGCAAATGATGCATTTACTGTTTGCAGGATAGTTAAAGGTGTTTAAAGGGCAAGACTTGGCATAAATGCTGGGTGGAGGGTGGGCATGGATACAGGGACCTCCCCCTGTCCTGTCTAATCAGCATAAGTACCTAGACCCATATGTATGGAATTTTAAATCCTCACCCTACTGATTGGTTTGGATGAGCACACCAGCTACAGATATGTGCTGAATTACAAGATGGGTTTTTTTTGCAAGGATTGTCTCTTGTAACACTAACCGCATGGTGATGGGTTTTCAGACATGTTTAAAAAAAAAAACTTTTACACATGAGTACTCACCTTAGAATTATTCACCCTGGCGGGGGGGAAGACTTTTCTCTGCCCTTTTATGTCCCTTTATGCTGCAAGTTGTGACATGTTCAGATTTCTAATTTGGTTCATTGTGGCCTATCTGGTTTCAGTATTTCATTCAAAATGTCTCGTTAGAGTATTTGATGTTATGCACCAAAAAATAAAACCCCACCTTGTTGTAAAACCTGACCTCCTTGCATGGATTTGAAAGCAAAGGATGAAATCCTAGGGAATTCATTCTTGTGGGAACTGGCCTTGTAGCCAGCCAGCACTTTGGGCAAATGCAAACCACAATGAGTGCTTGAGATGAAAGGAGGCATGTGACAGAAGGGTCACTGGTACTCAGGCACTATACAGTTTACTTGAAAGAGGCTTTGGAAAATAGATAAAGTGGAAGAAGAAATACCTATTTTTAATAATGTAATTTTAAAAATCCTTTATAATCAGTACTGGATCTTGGCTTGCAGAAGCAGCAACTGTTTTGATTTTTATGTCCTCTCTGTATGTATGTTTTCTGGTAGAATTTTTATTTTCTCCCATGGTTACACATTTCTTTGCAAAGGAGGTTGGTAGGAATTGTTCTTGGTCATGCTGGAGCATGGAGTTGGTCCCCTTGTGAGCTCATACCTACTGTCCACTATGCTCTGGAAGTCTCTCTAAGAACCAGAGGCAGAAGTCCTGACTTCCTGTTTGAAACCCAATTCTTAGAGGATTTTTTTTTTTTAAAGCAGAAATCTAGCAGCCCATCCTCCTTTCCTCTTGGTGTATTTGGTACCCCTCCAATGCTGGTCTTTTTGTAGAAACTCAGTAGAGAAAATAGAGCTAAGCCGTGATGAAAGCCTGCAAGATCTCAGTTTATGTAGTGACAGCAAATCCCCCTCCCCCCTTCTCAATGGGCTGGTCCCATCAGCTGAAGATTCTGTATAGAGTTATTAAAAAAAAAAATCCATCTTCCTTTATTTTCTTCACATGCAGCAATTTCTTAAGCACTTTGACATTTTGGTAGTTCCACACTATTGAGAGAATAATATATTTATTTTGTGACATTGCAGATGCCAAATACTGTAACCTTGTCGTGCTGACAATACCTGGGTTCCAGGTCACTGTTCAGATCCTGTCCTGCTTTTTAACAGTGATGCAGGATGGCTTTGTTGTTTGCATTATCAATACTTAAGGGTGCAGTCAGCTGTTAGTAATTGTGCAGTAAAGTCAAGCCCTGTGGTGTATCAAGGAATAGTTAAGAGTCTCTAGGTTGATTTCTGTACTGTGTGACCTAATAAAGCCCATTTCAGCTCTGACAACAGAGGAGGCGGGGACAATCACCATGGGGTGGCCCCTGGGGGAGGGAGTCCATCCATGATTGGTTATGCCTTCTGCCCTTTGGAGACTGAATGGGTTTTACATAAAGGAATTTGGCCTCCCCAAAGAGAGCTTTTGAAATGTTTTCTGATAGACACATGGAGGCCGGTTTTGTTTTAGAGTAATTCTCCACAAATTCTCTGTGGTGGTGTTGGGACTGTGTCCCGTGGTTTCAGTTTTCAACTCTTCTGCTGTAATTCTCTGTCTTCTTTGTTTCCATCTCCTTTTATAATGCACATATGATGCTGTGAACAGAAATAAATTATTTATGCAATCAAACGGTTGGGGACATTTTCTGTGGATGGTTTTTCAAATTGCTGTGCCCATCTTCAGGCCTCTGCTGAACAAGGGGAAGAAGCATAAGATGGTGTCTGGAGGTCTAGTGGGTTCCAGGACTGTATCCATCGTCTGCTATTTTTTTGGCAGGGGGCGGGGGGGGGGGACATCTGTCTAGGTTCACCCTGAATGGTGGGTGTGGAGGCTCATGAAGGAGACAGGTGCCTGGCACCCTCCTGTGTTCCTAGCTATTGGGTCACCTCATTCTATAGGAGAGTGACCTCAGTGCTTTACCTATCTTCAGCACTTTCATTTATTAAGAAGATCCCAAATTGTTGACACTTCAGAAATACTATCTGATAAGATAATATTCAAAGTAGCTCTGTACTAATCGAACAACACTAGTAACTAATGCTGCCCAATGTCGCAGCGTGTGTCTGCTCAATGTTGGGGCTACACCCATCACTCGTGAGCCCATGTGAAGAGCTCCAGATGAATCCACTTCAACAATGGGCATGGTAAGACCTTCATGCTCTGTGGATGCTGTTGAGAAATGGGTCACTTTCTGAAGAGAACGGGATGAGGCCAGAATCAATAGCACCTTGAGCATGTGCAGTGGAGAGCACATGGGAGCCCTTGGGAGATACTCAGAGACAAGCTGAATAGTTACAAAATGATGCTTACAACCCTAGGGATCTCACAAGTCTTGAGTCAAAAAGATCCAGTTCCAAGTTCTTGTTCAGAAAGCTAAGGCCCCACAATTTTGTTCAAGTTCCTTAACCTCTGAGCGTCAGTTTCACCATATGTGAAACAGGTCATAATGGCACCTTAAAGAGGTGTTGGGAGAAGATAAGACAGATAGAGGGCTTAGCCTAGTGCCTGCCTCTGAGCAAGAGATCTGTGGTTTTGGTTTTTCATCTGGTCGGCTGCAAAACATGAGTGGTATGCAGGAAATTTCAACTGACTGCTGGCTTTTCAGTTAGGTCCTTGCAATTTTGTCTCTTATCCACACCTCTTGGCATCAACCTGCTAAAACCTAGCTACTGATTTCAGGCACAGGTGGGTGGTCTCATCACCCAAAGCTGGGAGAAGTTGCATTAGGTGCAAACTGATGGTTCCAGACTCTTGGATCCATTACTGTTCACTCTCCATATTGCTTGCCTGTGGGTCACACAAGGGAGGTGGAGAGTAGAGACTCTTTGATTGCTGGTACCTAACACAAGGTTGAGTACATAATAGGGATTTGGTATTTGGTTGAATGACTTGATTCATGTTAATTGGTTTTAGTTGTAAACTTTAAAACGGGAATTCTATAAAATAAATGATTGTTTCTCATTAAATATTTAAATGAGACAGTATTGACATCCTTCTTTCAGGTCACTTGTGACATGAATCTTTGCTCTGACCTTGTAGAAGGCTGTTGAAGCTTCCACATTGATAAACACATTTGTGTTTCTTACTCAGAAAAATGAGCAAGACTCAACTGATCACTCGTGGCTGCAGGGGCTAATTACTAGCCATTATGTCAAAAGGGCACAAATACTATTTTGAAGCACCTGGAAAACTTGAAAAACCATGTAGGGACCTTTACAACATCATATGAATAAAAATATTGGAAATCAAAATAAGCAAAGATTGAAACCCTTCGTTTACAGTGCAGCCTTAATTTAACTTGACTTAACAAATTCCTGGAGAGCCAAGTGATATTTGGTTCTTAGCTGATAATTAATTGTTCATCCTTTGTATTCCAGAAAAGAGACCACAAAATGGTCACATTGCTGACCTCCAACAACTGAAGAGGCTGATTTTAGTCCCAAGCAACTGCTCTGTTCTCCCCAATCCAAATGTTTCCCTTATGGTGTAGCTTCTTCATTTGTAAGGATTTTTTTTTTTTTTTTTAAATCACAGATACCTTCCCTTTCTCTTTTGTGCCTTTATTCTTATCTCCAGAGCTTGGGCTCTTGAAATAATCCATTACCAACATAATAGACTATTTTGATGTCACAATCATGAGGTAGCAAGGAAGGACAAAATTATGTGCAAAGGACAGAAGATAAAAGCTTTTGTAGGATGAAAAAGCAACAAAGCAAACTCAGAACTCTGTAATCCTTGATTTCTCAGCTTTCTTCCAATCCAGCTGGTGACTGCTGTCCTGTCTGCCTTGCATCGTTGTGTAGCTCTGATGCCCACAACTCCATCTGCCAGGGGGAGGAAATGGGCTATCATCAAAGGAAAGCATGTGTCTCTCGCCTCATTTGCCCTGCTCATGCATGCATTCTGTTCCTTAAAACAGCTCACTCTAGCTCTCTGTGGCTTGATTGAAACCTGTTTAAAACGGAATGTGCACAAGACACGGGGCACGTCATACTTTTGTTTTGCACCAGTTCTGAACTTGAGAGGGGCTGTGTCAGGTTCCCACAGGAACTTACAATCTAAGGGGTTCTGAGAAAACTGAAGAGTAAGAATGAGAAGGCTGTGTGCTCAACCCCACCTAAGATTTCAGAGTTGAAGTAGGTTTCCTTGAATGGTGCATGCAGCCTCACCCACAGTGCTGGCCATGAGCTCTTCTGACTGAGCGCATAGCCAGGGAAGACTTTAACTTGTAGTAGAAGTACGGCATGAATGAAAGAACTGAATTGAGGACTTCTTAAAGTTGTGCTACAGTGTGAGGTAGGGAGGACAAGGATTCCTTTGCATTTAGCTAGACTAACTCTAACACGGTCATGTTAAGCACAGTCTCCCTCATCTATGTGGTCACAACAGTCATTGGGACCTTGATTGAGCACTGACTATGAACTAGGCCCCTGCAAAATGCTTCCCATGCATCAACTAACCCATATATGTTTACAAATAAGGAAACCAAGGGAAAAAGAGGATGAGGTGATCTGACCAGTGAGTGTGGAGGAGAGTACACACCAGGTCCCTTCCCAGCAGAAGAGCCTCTCCAGGCTCCACTTGCCTGCTGCTGGTGCTGGGAAGGGTCTGAGTTTCCAGGAAGCCAAGGCTCCAAGTCTGGGAGAAGGAGTGGGGCAGAAGGTTGGTGCTGCTGGCCAGCACTGTGCACTCAAGCTGATAACAGGGATGCCCACCTGCTTTCACCTTCTCCCAGGACTACTCGGGCAGGCAGATAGATCCCAGGCTCGGTGCCTGCTTTTGCTGTTCAATGAGTACATTGCATGTCTAGGAAAGGACAGTCCCTCTTGTATCTGTTGTTGTCCTTCAATAACTTTATTTTTGGTATTCCTTTCAGGATGGGGTTGGTGGGGAGGTGGCTGCCTTCCAGTTTGGCCCCAGGGGATCATGTGCAGCATATGAGTCTGGCTGGGGTCTGCATTTGAGAGTGCAATCTGACCCCTCATTCTCAGACTCCCCAGCTACTCCATGGGGCTGAGACTCTGCCACCTCGAAGCGTGTTTTGAAAACAAAATGAGACAACAAGTGGGAATGCCCCATGCGTGGCTAAGCAGCCTGCAAGACAGGTGTGAACATGGATAAGGGACGCCATTCTGCCTTCTCTGTGACCCTTTTCTTTCTAGGCTCACCCTTGCCTGCCTGCAGAGGTGTCATTCTCCTCACCCTGTTCCTCGTGATGGCGCCTCTGTTCCCTCTTCATTTTCAGTGATCAGAAAACCTGCAACTCTGGGATATGACAGCACAGGAGATGCTCAGGAAAACACCTGTCCTTGTGAGATTCTGGCTGTAGAACCTTTGGTGGAAGTTTCTGCCCAGGAGTCTGTTGGGGAAAATGAGCCTCTTTTTATCAGTCATTTGCAGAATTCCCATTCTCCTAGTGGCCATTCATCATGCTATTCATTTCCTTAAATGCTCACTGTCCATACGATTAATTTCAACTTCCTGTGTCTCATGAAAACCAAAATAATTCCATGTATAATTTATAAGTCACCGTGGTAAGTACTGCAGACTGCATAGCCTCTTTCATAAACATGTGTTTGCCTGCATTGCTTTCTGTGTCATAAAAAATGCTGCTAAAAATAATATCCACAAACAACATCATAACCCACAAGATCAGGGCACTCCACTGGGCAGAGTGCCAGGATGACACATCTGCCTCCGGCACTTGACCTTGGAGGTTGTTGCTCCAGCCAGTGAATCAGGGCTAAACTATCAAAGGAGGCGCCTGACTCCAGCGTGGAACACCCTTCATTTTACCAAAGACAAAGTCATTAATTCAACCAAATCCATGTGTACAAACCACACCAGTCTTGGGATAAAACTAGGAGAGTTCTGTCTGCTCAAACCTACTGCTCTGTGCTCCTGTGGCCTCTGTGTGGGGACTCCAGCCCTCTCTAAAGTCCCGCTCCAGTTATTTCTGAGGCTGTACTAATTTCTCCTCCTCCATCCCTCCTGTCCTACCCTGAGTCCTTGTAGAGAGGGCTGCTTTGTAATCTTTCTAGAGCCATAATTGGGGTGGCAGTCCCAATTACTGGCCCCACCCCATTCTCAATGGCCAAAGGATATTTAGTGGCATGGCTCCTTTATGTCTGCTGTCATGTGTGAGGAACCCTGATGCCCAAGAGTCTGGGGACACTGAGTAACTGACACTTTGCCATCTCAGAAGACACCCTTTTGCGTGATACTGGCTCTCCCTCCCTGAGACACCCCTTCTCCCCTGTAGTCTCAGCCACAAGGTTCTCCCCCAAAGACACCTCAGTGGTTAAAGATTCTGAGATGGGTCCGAATCCTTGTATGAACCCAGCTCTAGCTTCTAACTGGGACCCTGTCAGCCCCAGAGCAGATGGGGAGATGTGCGGGGAGTTCTATCTGAGTCTGTCCTGGGTCAGTCTGTCTGTCCTGGAGTGCACTCTAGAATACTGGCTGGGAGAGAGGAATTCACAGTAAGCAGCTGGTCATTAAATGCTAAGCCTCTAACCACCACTTGTTTCCCGAAAGAAATGATTAAGATGACATGAATTGCTGCCAGAGTGTTTGCTTTGTATGAGATGCTGAATTTGTGCACTTCAGAGTCTGCTC